TTTCACCCAAAAAAAATTTAAAAGCAAAACATTGCAGTAGTCCCAATGAAATTTTAAACTTTCACAGTTGTAGTATAAAAACTTGTAATATAAAAAAAAGTTTAAACTATAGATAGATGTAGACTTTTCGATAGAATTAGGGTTTTTTTTAGGACTATGTAGCCCACGTTAAATGCAATGTTAAACTTATATGTAATATTTCAAATGTTGATAAATGTGAAGAGTATTTTGCATACTTATTTACTATTCTTGTTTTAGTTTGTTTAAACTGTTTGTTTGACTTATTAATAGTTATTTGATTTTTAATTAGTTTATCTTATGTTTACAGTTCCTCGAAATTATATTTGCATTATTGAGGTTGAATTACTAGTTGCTTGTAACCATTACTTGTTTATAGAAGGTATGTATTAGATTTTTAAACTATTTGAGATTTTTTAGGTTTATATAATTTAGTACATTTTTTTACATTATTTATAATGCTATTAATTTTAACTAACTATTATATATCGTTTGCTTATTATATATTTATTTGTTTTGTTTACTTCAACTTGCATCTTGTAATGTGGGACGATTTGTAAAGTTATTTCTCTCTTTTTAAATAAACACATTTTAATAACATTTTAAAAAATTTTATTGACATTTTTTTCTAGTTTGAATTAGAAGGGTTGGGGAGGGGTACAAGTTCCTCTCCTAACTAACAAAGTAAAATAATCTTGAATAATTATTTCTTTTTCTCAATAAATTCAATTAAAAATCTTTTTTTAAATATCTTTAAAATTTTTTTTTAGGTTGGATGAGACTGGAGGGGGGGGGGGATAAAATCAGTGTTTTTTAGGTTAAAATATTTATAAGAATGTAACATTTCACTACGAGGATGTTAAAACGGAACAAAGACATCCACCTCTTAATCTAAATAGGACCACTAATATTTGGAAATGGAATGGAAACAAATTAGAACAACTTTTTGTGTTTAAAGATAACATATTTTATCAGAAAAACACTCTTTCATGTGAAGAAATTGTATTTTTTAAGGTTATGGTGTTCCAGCACCCCCTCTGGCTCTCTAGACACCCTTTTTATATGTAGAGTTATATGAACTTGTAGCCTACTCTTACATCTATCTTTTGATACCAAGGTATATGCATTTGGATAAGATTTGACAAAGTTAACAATTTCAGTGAAAAAAAAAAAAAATTTGGAACCATAACTTTTTTTAAAATTGTTTGTTTTTAATAATATGTACGTGGAAATATACGTTTTATGGAACCAAATTATGAGTTTTTGTCTAAAACTTTGTTGTACTTTGGGCATGAAATTAATGTCGAAGATATGCTCATTTTTTTTTCTATACCATTCTTTTTTTTAAAGCTTTTCATTTATCTATGCACTTGGAAAATTTCATTGAAAAAAAAAGTTGTAGCAGGGTGTCTATTTTTTGTCGCAATTTTGGTACCTAATTTTCCTTTTGCCCAAAATGGTCGTAGGAGACAGAGGGGTAATTAAACATTTTTTATATTTGATTTAGATTAAGTAAAATTTTTATTAAAAATGGAAAATAATTAACAAGGATAAAGGTTTTCAATATTGTTTCCTATTTATTAAAACTATTTGCCTTACTTCAAAGTAAAGTTATTAAATGAATTTTAATGTTTCCTTACTTAGAAGTTGAAGTTTTATGTAACTGACATATTAGTAATATTATAACATATTTTATCTTATATTGTAAGCCTCTCCAATAACAATTGCAATCTGCGACTACTTGTTGTAACATGCATCTTTTTCTAAAAAAGACTAGTTAAAAACAAGACCTTTTTTAGCACAGTTAATCATTAACTGTTAATCTATCAACTGCAGTAATTAATATAAATAAAGTATGGTCATATATAACTAATATATGTTAGCAACCTTATTTAACTTTTATGTATAATACATGTAACGTAAATAATCAAAAACATTTGTTATATTGTTTTAGCTGCTCAAAGCAGTCCAATGGCAGCAACCAACAATATCAGTTAGTTATTTTATACATTCAATATTCATTAGTTTTTTTTAAGATTTAAGACTTAAGATCAGTAGATATAGTGCTTGTACTATTTTGTTAAAAAAAGTTCATTTGTTTTTTAGATGATGCTTTTGAGAGGATAAATCAGTTTTTTTTTGTGATTTATTATTTTAGTATTTAGTCTTTTGCTCTCAGTATTCAATTATATATCTTTATTATGCTATGTTTTTTGTGCAGATTTTTGTGCACCCACAAAGTTTTTTTACAGTTGTTTATTTATATATTCCTGATTGTTTCATGCTTTTTATTGAGTCATTGTTATTTTTGTTCTATAGACGATTTAGAACAAACTATTAGTAAGTAAAGTTTGAATTATTTTAGTTATTGAGTCAATTAAACCTTTTTTTTTGTAATGTTAGTGTTATAATTTAATTTTATAACAAAGTTAGTAATTTAAAGTTTTAGGTAAATTCAGATAGCAGATTTGTAAGTTTAGTAAATTTTAACAATGTCAAAGGTATAGTTTAATGATACATGCTAACTAAAGATTATTACTTAATTGATACACAAGCTAAAGGTGTTTACTTTATTGATACACACTACTAAAGGTGTTGTAATGAAAAGTGTAACTTGAAATTAAGTTTATTTTAGTAAATATTATATTACTTATGTTTTATAATTACTTTTATAAATGTTATATTACTATTGTTACTACTTATTTCTTTTAAATTCATTAGCAACACTTACTTCATTAATTGGTAAGAGAATAATGTGTATTTTTATGTGTATGTATTGAGAAATATAGTCTGATTTTGTGTATTATGCAGTATTGTACTATTCAATATGTACTATGTTATTGTATATATAATATGTACTATATATGTATATCTAATATGTAGTATTTACATGTACCATTTAATCTTTTGTGTCATTGTCATATTTAATCTTTAATATTCTTGTCATCTGTTGCAGCTGGTAAGGTTTCTATATTATTAATTTGAGAGATAAAGTTGTTAAATGGTTATTTCATGTAGCACGTAGAAATAGAGTTAGAAATCGATTGCATCAGGCTAAAATTAGAGCCAATATTTCCTAAAGACAGGCATCCAAGCGCCAAAAAATGGATGGAAAAGTAAAAAGTTAGAGCGAAAAAAGTTAGAGCGATAGCTATCCAAACTGAGTTATGATGAAATTATAGATTCTTATAAAAACTTGTCCAATGACCAACTTTATGATTTAGAAAATGTCATGTGTGGAGGAATTGTAGGCAAAAAACTATACCATGAATGGTATGATCCAAATACATCCAAGCCTGTTTTGTATAATGGCAGAGTAGAAAAAGTTATTAGTAGAAAAAATGACTTAGTTTACACTATTTCTTATTGGAAAGATGTTGAAACGTATATGGAAGATGCTGACCATTGCATGAAAAAGATCCAGCTTGTTGCAGATGTTATTTCAGAAAAGTTACAATTTTATTAAATTTATATTATATTAATAAAACACTGTGAAAGTATAAATTTGAAATTTAAGATAAAATAGTACTACAAGTGAATTGCTGAAAAATACTACGAGTCTTGTGAGCTAGTCACAAGACTAGTATTTTTCAGCAATTCACTTGTAGTACTATTTTAACTTAAATTTTATAATATATAAATTTGAAAATTATAGATAAGTATATAAATTTGAAATTTATAGATTAAAAACTGCAAGTGCTGTGACTTGTTGAAGAAAAAAAGTACTGCTAGTGTTGTGACTAGCTAATAAAAAGTACCGCAAGTGTTGTGACTAGGTCAAAAAAAGTAGTGCAAGTGTTGTGACTTGCTAAACAAAAGTACTTCAAGTGTTGTGACTTGCAAAAAAAAAATTAAAGCATGTGCTATGGCTTGCTAAAAAAAGTACTGCAAATGTTGTGACTTGCTAAACAAAAGTACTGCAAATGTTGTAACTTGCTGTGCATTTTTGATAGACAGTTCTGGCTTACCTTCACGTTGTGTCTTTTGTTAAAAATGATTATAAAATAATTTCATTGAATTTATAATTATAATATAATTTCTAAAATTTTTAATTTATAATTTCTTTAATTAATTTTTTTTTTTTTTAATTTAAATTTTTTTAAAAAATTTAAAAAAAAAAATTTAATTTTTAATTTATAATTTTTAATTTAATTAAAATTTTTAATTTATAATTTCTATAAATATTTATAAAAATATAAAATAATTTCATGGAATTTATAATTGTAATCATTCACTAAAAGCCAAGAAAAAACTTTATGAAATAAATCATCATTAAAATAATCAAACATTGTTTAGTGTTAATAACATTTTATTTGTTTTTTAGTTTGAAACAGCCTAACTTTTCTTTAACTAAACTAGTATCAAACACTAAATGAAAGATTTGAAGATTTATAAAGGTTGGTAAATACCTTTTTTTGATTACCTTTTTACCACTATTAACTGATATTAGAAGTCACTCGTAGGAGAATATTTTAACAACTAATTCTCCAATTAATCAAAAATGCTTTTTTTAAAAAAATGACTTTAGTCAGGGAAAAGGGTGGGGGATAGCCCCTCACTTTTGACAATCGATGCAACACTGATGTAACTTTTAACCAAGTAAGATATATTTTTTACTTCTTTGTTGTTGTTCTTTAAAAAACCAATCAAATATTTCATAATTAAAATTTTTTTGCAATATTAGGGTGTGTTAAAACATGGTTAACACATTTAACATGAGTTTTACACTTACCTTCAATGTTTGGTGGTTGTAGAATATTTAAACAATTTGAAATTTTTACTCACGTACCTATTAATAATTTTTTCACCTTTAAAATACTGTATTGAAGGGCTTTCTAATGATATATAACGTACCTAATATATAACATTCTAATATTTAATTAAAATTAAGTTAGGCATTTATAAAATGCCTAACTTAATTTTTAATTATGGAATAATATTCTTAGAAAAAAATATATAATACTGAAGAAAAAAATATTTACCTTGCATCTGATAGGCTACTTTGAACAACTGCATCAACCTTATTATATGCAATATTTCGCCTAATAGTTTTTTCAGCTTCATGACTTAAATCATTGGCAACTATCTTTTTTATGTTCGGAATTTCTAGAGCATATCTAACTGAGCGCAATCCTGTTGCTGATAGAGCCTCTAAAATTGTATAAGATTTTTTTTCATTGGCAACATGTATATCACTATTACTAATTGAAACATTTTCTTCAAGAACAATTTTTTTAACTTTATCCAAGTTATCAGTGTCTTCGGTTTTATTTTTAGATTCAGTATGTTTTATTTCGGTTGAACGAGACTCTGAGGTCTTCTTTACGAGCTCTTTCAACTCATTGTCTCGAATTTTAAAAAATTGTTTGATTACTGCTATACTTAAATCACGATTAAATACTTGCACATTATTATAAAAAACAGAATTTGATTTTGGAAACAAAACTTTGGCTTTTCCCTCAACAACCTCAGTAAAATCGTTAGCTTCGAATTTTTCTGGTTCAACATTCACCTCATGGCGTTCTACCATCTTTGTTTTAATGGTACAAGATGTAAATAAATAAAAAATACCGGTTACATTTATATCGTACTGAATCGGTATCGGGTATCGTACTGAATCAGTAATCGCATATCGGCTGAACCCATTCGTTTCGGCTGAACCCATTTGTACCGGTGCACAGTGGGCTAGAATCCTATATTTTTGGAAAAAAGTTATAACTTTTTTTCCTTTCATCCATAGGCCCCAAAAATTGGTATATAAATTAATTGGATGATAATAATTTAAATGAGCATTGTTTTTTGGTGTGGTTGCCAAGGCAACCCCATTTGCATAGCAACACATATTAGCTTAGTTCCTAAGGGTTATTTTTAGCCAAATGTTTCTAATATTGGTATGCAAATTAATTTGATGATTCTAATAGGATTGAGCATAACTAATTGTTTTAATTTACACTCACACTTTAATATAGGTACAGACATTTCCAAAATTATAAAGATACAAAAGATACATTTATAAACTAATATCATCTGTGGATGACCTCAATAAGTCAATAACTCCAGCTGGTAAGTTTTTTGTTTTGGTGTGACTTCCTGCTGTCTTTCTCAGAGATGCAATAAATGGATCAGATATACACAGAAGTCGATTTAACAAATCTTGATTAGTTTTCACACGAGATGATTTTCTTGCAAAATGTTCACGATAGTTTTGAAAGTCTTTATTGCGTCCTTCTTGAGCTTCTTCAGAATACATACCAATGGGTAATGCCAAACTTTTGATAATTTCAGAACCATGGGTTAAAATTTTGTGGAGAGATTGTGGCATATAGTACCAAGGATTATGATGAATATAAAGTCGAGCTGTTTTTAAACAGAAAACCTCAAATTTTTCAGTGTCAATATCTAAACCACATGAAATTGTTGCCAATATAATATGCAAATTTAGAATCAGTTCAACATCAATATTTAAAATTTCTGCAACTTTTCCGCATTTTGAAATGCTCTTCGAGCCGTATTTCCATCTTTTGATGTTCCACTACCACCAGATTTCGGAACATCAACTATCAAGCCCATTTCATCTTTAAATCTATTTTGAATTTGTTGTTTCAGAGCATTTACTTTAGATTTATCTTCTGCTGTTCTTGCTTGCCACTTTTTGAAAGTTATTTTGTATCCAATATGTAATAAACATTCAAAAAATCGTATTCAAGCGTGTAAGGATAATAAACCAAATGAATAAATACCTGCCATACCATTTTTCAAAACCATTTTTTCAACATCATTCATTGCTTTAGGACTTGCCCCACATATAGTATAGTATTGACCTGAATTTTTAACATCTGAAAGAGCAGTATGAACTTTTCCATCAATCATAGTAATTTGTATTATATGATGTGTTTTGATTTTTTTATTATTTATATCAACTTCAGTATCTTGCAAGTTTGAAATCTCAACCCTAATGAGATCCAATTCTGATTTAGAAAATGCTGCTGTTTCTTTTTCAAATTTAAAACGCAGAGGTCTACAGTACATTGTTGGTGATGGTCGTGGATTTCGCCAAGCTGGGTACCGTTTTCCATTTGAAAAACCACACAAGTTTAATGGCACTAGGCAAGTAATAAAAAGTGCCTTCTCATTATATAAATTTCTTATTACTGTTCCTTGCGATATTTGTTTATATATAGACTGTCCTGTGGCACCATCAAAGTCTATTTTGTATCTCAGAGAAAATCTATCTGAAGTGCCTTCAGTGCTAAGGACATTAGACTATGCCTTGCATATTCTATTTGCTGTATGATCGACCAAAGCGTGCAGTTTTATTTTAGCTGAAAGGTCTGAGACAGATATATCTACAGGATAGCATAACAGCTTTGCATCCCAAACATCATTATATTTGCTTGATTTCGAATAATTTGGTAGGAAGCTTTTGTCAATCTAGCATCTAAAATAAGACAAAGAGCTTTATCTTTAGACATTCTACAATCTTTTTTTGAGGTTTTTTCAGTTGGGTTTTCTTTTCTCCGTTTAATTTCTGAAGCAAATTGTAACGCAGAAGCACAATACATTTCAGTTAAGTGACTAACTTTATGTTTTTTAGTTTTAGTAGAGTAGTTATCAAAGTTTGTCTTATTTGGTCTTCCAATAGGTATTGGTGTTACATTTAAATTTTCAGGAACATGGCTTTGCAGCCATTTTTTGTTCTTTTCTTCAAATCAAGCCATGCTGCAATGTGACTTGCACCACTTATCTCGTAGACGCGTTATTATAGTTCCTAATTGCTGCTTGTTGCAATCCAAATTCATAGCATCAATAAGTTTGTCCACAATGCCAGAGTCAGATATTTGTAGATTATTAGGCTTATGCATAATGAATGCATATATATCAAAATATTTCATTTTCAGCCTACAAATACAAAAAATATATTATTTATGAGACATTTGGAGATAAAACAAACTCTAAATATTTATATGTTTATTTTAATGTGATAAAAATATGATTTGCTAAAAAATTAAGATGATTGGAGCCTGGGAACACAAAGAATAGCCAGAATGTTGGCACCCCTGCCCCAAAGATGAACCTTGTTAAAATCATTAATAGAGACGCAGCTGACTCCCGCCGACAATAGGTAAAATATATATCGATAATGCACATATTGTGCAAGATATTTTGAGTCTCAAATTTCTGGAGCATCTTGGAGCGCAAAAGTATTTCATTATTTAAGTGAAATTTTCACTAAAAAAAGTGCTTTAAATACGCCATCATTAGAAATCAATTTATTTGATATAGCTTACGTGCAAAATAATTTTGCAATAGCTCATTTGATAGATAATACTTAGTTTTAATTAATTATTCAATAAAAAAATTAAGTTTTATTAATTAATAACAATTTATGCTTATTACTAACACGAAAAACATTATTAAATTAAAAAACAAAAAAAAAAAAAACTTGAAAAAAAAAATACCTTTTTTATTAACAGCTTAAAATCAGAAAAATCTCAAACATCGTCTCTTTTCACTAAATAGTCTGGTCGAATAAATGAAAATTATTGTTTATCGCTTTTTTTTCTTACCCCAATCATAGCAGATTAAATTATTTTTTTAATAGTAGAAAAAAATATAATGCCCCGCTCTACTAACTAATTCAAACGCGCGGTCTTCTACTTACTAGGTGTCAAACGATTCAGCTGTTGACACCGGTACAAATGGACACTCTTAGCTGATGGCACCACTGATATTACACTCTGTGAGCAAACTTCTATTGTATTACGTTATGCTACGCTTGCTGCAGAAGACGCTGTTGTTAAGATTTCAATGGTTGAAACTGAAATAACTACTGGTGAAGGAATAAGTGAAAAAATAAAAGATGAACTCAAAATTATAAAGATACAAAAGATACATTTATAAACTAATATCATCTGTGGATGACCTCAATAAGTCAATAACTCCAGCTGGTAAGTTTTTTGTTTTGGTGTGACTTCCTGCTGTCTTTCTCAGAGATGCAATAAATGGATCAGATATACACAGAAGTCGATTTAACAAATCTTGATTAGTTTTCACACGAGATGATTTTCTTGCAAAATGTTCACGCCGTTGTTAAGATTTCAATGGTTGAAACTGAAATAACTACTGGTGAAGGAATAAGTGAAAAAATAAAAGATGAACTCAAATCAAATAATGTAGATATTCAGAAGTGTGTGGGTATGTCTTTTAATGGTGCTAGCAATATGCAAGGAATAAACAAAGGATTTACAACATACTTGAAGCAGTGTTCTCATATGACAATAAATATTTATTGTGGATCTCATGGAACAAATCTGGTTATGAAAGCTGGTACGAAATCTTCTGTTGTTTCTGTTAAGCTTTTTGGAACGGAAAACAAGCCTGGTAATGCGCAGAAATTAAAGACTTTTCTATACGGAAACTCAAGGAAACGAAGTAATATATTTGAGAAGTGCAAATCTCTTTTTGAGGATGTAAATCAGTCTCTTGAACTGGTTGCTATCCACATTGCTCTTGAACTGGTTGCTATCCACATTTCTAGCAGTCGGTCTGTATCATTGCCAGTGCCTTAAAAAATGGTACAGACCGACTGCTGACACTATACCCTGTAGTAATCAATTGCCTTCAAATGACATGGAATTTAAAATGAATATTCGAAGAGAAGAATTCGAAGAATTTGAAGAATTCGAAGAGAAGAATTCGAAGAACATTGTCTTTTTATCCCAATTTCAGTTATATGAAACAATTGCGACTTTATGTTTCTTCAAAGAAATTTTTACTATCTTGGGTCCCTTAAATAAAATTCTTTGAGAAGAAACATTTGATTTTTCCATTGCTATAATATCTGTTAATGTATCACTGGAAAAGCCTTAAGTAATAAGGGATAGAGCTAACCAAAATGCTATTTTATCTGCTGTTAAAATTGCAACTGAATCTCAGCTTGAACAGCAAACATTTGTTGAGAAAAGGACTCGTAGTAAAAAAAGACTGGACTTTGATGAAACAGAAGATGAGCGGCTTACTCAAGCCTAAAATCAATGGTTACCAGAAGTGTTTTATACAATAGTAGATTCAGCGACTGTAGTTCTTGTGGACAAATTTTCTTCACAGCGGATAATTTTAGAAAGCATTGATTTTTTATATTGAAGAATATGAGTGAAGATATCAGTCGTAATTTTTATAGCTCTAATTCACGTAAAAATTCAATCAGTGCTAAAAAAATTTAAAATTGGTATCAGTTTAAATGAATTCACTACTGAAATAGTTGATTTTTTGGAAATTTACAGAAAAGCTGCTGAGAGAGTAACAAAATTTTGCCTTCTTTTTAAACCATTTACCATTTTATGTTGAAGACTATTTTAGATGCTGTATTCCTCTCTGATGCAGTTCTATACAAGATATTCAGTACGATTCCAACAAATTTAGCAGAGTGTGAGAGAGTTTTCAGCAAACTGAAACTTGTCAAAACTTCATCTAGTTGACATCAGAGCATGTTGGGAATCATGTCCTCTTGTTATTGGAACATGAAAAAATGTGGAGTTTGACGCATTCAGACATAATTAAAAACTATGC